ATATATATATATATATATATATATATATATATGTGTGTGTATATGTGTGTGTGTGTGTTCTAGACATATAAAGTATGGAAGAAAAAAGGTCACATAGCTGGTGATTGCTTAACAGCTTAGTAAAGGTCCCTTAGCACCCCGGAGTGCTGGTGCAATTAGGGGATATTTTGTTCAATTAAAGTGGTTGCCTTGTTTTTGCATTTGTTGATAGTGGTTTTTTGTTTAAAATGACAGTGTTTTTAAATAACTATACTAAGGGTTTTTTGAGTTTCAATTTTAGTAAACATGAGAAGGTTTCTTTTATTATGTTCAGTCAATCTGGTTTCCAATTTTCTCCCAGCATCACCAATGGACAGTTATTACACATCTTATAAATGATGTCGGTATTGTGATTCTACATAACTTTATCTAGTAACAATTTTAGTTTAGGGCCCAGTTTTGGAGTTAATTTGAAGTCATCAAAAATGTTATGCTAAATGGTATATTTTGTCTAAGTGTGAATTGTTTTTAAATTGATTTCAGGGACAAATGGAAAAAAATTGTATTATAATGTTCTATTGTTGTTTGATTTATTATTGTCAATTTCATTTCTGAGTTGAGTTTTGAGGTTCTCGTTGTGGTGATTGTGTACGAATTTTTCAAAAGTAACTTATGGAAATTTGTTGGTGTGAGTTAAGGAATGCTTTATAAGGTAGTTTCTTCATTTCTGTTGTCCATTCAGCAGAGTTTTTAAGCTTTGTTTATAAGGTTTCTTAATGTATTGATTTTTTGTTTGGTTTCATGGATAGAATTCCAGGGAATGTAGAGCAGTGGTTCTCAACCTATTTGAATCCACTGAACTCTTCTGACATTAAATTTGTGTCACGGAACCCTTCACAGTGTTCGTTACAAAAAATTACTGCAATAATAGCAACTGTCTGTGCCTAGTCTCACTCGCAAATTTAAAAGAATGTAGTGACTTGTTGTTATGTTGTGTCATTATGAAACCTGCCATACTAATACAGAAATATGATGTAGTCTGATTGCAATTATGTGACTTGTATGTATTTATGCATTAAAATAGGTGGAACTCTTGCATTCCACCGAACCTCTGGATGTCTGTTGAATAAACCGAGGGATTCCCAGGATCCCAGCTGAGAAGCACTGATGTAGAGGACCATCTGAGTATTCTTATGATGATTATTGGTTTTGAACTGATAAAGGTAAGAAAATATAATGGCTTGTTGTTTTCATCAAACATGGTGAATTTAATGTTTGGGTGAATGGAGTTCATGTGTTTAAAGAAAGTTTATGTACCAGTATTGGGGGGAGGGGCATATATATGTTGACTTATTTCAAGAAAAAATTTTTTTCTGAAACTGAAGTTGGTTTTAGTTATTTTAAACTGTAAGGGGGAGATAAAGTGTTCTGGGGATGTAAATTAACATATTATAGTTATAATGTAGAGGTTAAGTGCAATATTACAAGTTTCATTGAATACTGAGAGTTAATGACACATTACAAGATCCTGATGTTCTTGGAACTACTTTCATCCTCAATCATACTTGTTCTGTTGGCCATGATTGTGAACTACCGCTGTCCTAAAATTTCCACTATAGCAAACTTCTGCAAAGGATGGCAGAGTCAGTCATAGATTAACCCTTTCGAAAAAGGTCACAGGTGAAAGGCCATGTCATCTCGTCTGTTGACTCCCATTGAAAATTTTATTGAACTACTATTTCATGAATAAATTTGGTATCAAACTGTGGATTATAATTGAAATTTTAGAACTATACATTACTCAATTTATTACTTTAAAGGTAATTAATTATAAAAAAAACACAAATAAAAATCAATTTTTGTGTGTCACGTGATATGTTGAATGCAGCATTGGTTCAAATTAGATGGTTGTGAAGTCAAAATACTAAGTCTATACTTTCATACGAATT